GAAAAAAAGGCAACTAAAATGGCATGGGAGGGTGAAAGAGGCGGAACAGTGGGAGCAATGACGTAAAATGAGCGTTGACAATATGCATAGCCTTAGCAAGACAGCCAGTTGGGATAAAATTATCAAATCCATCTCCAAGAGTTGCAACCATTGCCTGGTTTAAGCAAAAAAGAAAAAAAAAAACGCAAATGACATACTAATCTACCTACTCCATTCGGTGAACCATTTATTCTCACCTCCAAAAATAAAGGTAGTAAGTGAAGAGAGTTTAGCTGATGCAGCTTCAAAAGTATTGCCTGTATGAATGCTTTGGCGTTGTTTGAAGGGAGAGAAAGATAAAACGACCTCAAAATAGGCTGCTAAACACACATGAACCTCCACTTCCCTCAGCAAGAAAGCATTTTCCTTGCCTCATTGTGAAGAGTGGGTGGGAGACAAAAGGAGGAAGAGAGCGCACCCCAAGATTCAAACTAACCAACGATGAGGAAGGACGATTGAAGCAAAAGGCGATTGAAAAGAGAACACAATTGAATGCCACAAAGAGGGATTTATTTGTCAAATTTGAAATAACACAGTTGAAGTCCAGAACCACAAACCATCACTAAATATGCCTTCTCTGCCTTGTTGGTGGGGAGGAGAGACATGTTCTGAGGATCACCCAGTCCCGTCAATGTTGTCTCGGACAGAACGAAGACTTCACCTCCTTCCCCAACTTGCCATAGCAGCAACCGATGGTCAGCACCCAAGGTTAGCAGACAATTTTGTTTAGGCAGACTGATGACTTTGACAGCTGCAGCAAAGTGTCGAATTGCTTTGGTGATCCAAACACCCTGCAAATTGGCCAATCGGAGGCTGCCGTCATCACCTGTCACTGCAATGTGATCAGGCAAAATTGCAACTGAGTTTGCTGCACAAGGAGCCACTGTCTTTGTGGTGGGATTCTCCACTTCCAGTTGAAGTGAAAAGAGTAGTTTGTGGAGGGTGCCATTGTCAAGGCCTACTTCAAATGCTTCCACAATGCCACTGGTAGTGGTGTACGCAATAGTCACTCGACTTCCAGTTGGTTGAGCCATACAACACAGACTGAGAATACAACTGCGTTTTTTACCATTTCGAAAATCGGCAATTTGACAGAACCGAGACAACCATCCAGTGGATTTACACGGCAAACTAATTCTGATAAGTCTGAAAGGCAATGTGAGAGAAAAATGAGAGCAAAGAGGAGAAAGAACGCGATAAAGGAGAATGAGAACAGGAGAAAGGTGGATTAAATGTCACGTCTTTGTGTAAATTTTTTGTTTCTTGAAAGAGACGACACAAGAGCACAAGAACCAGTCCAAATCGTATGTCTCTAGACAATTGGTAGTTGCTCTAACCGTTGAAATATGAGCTCGAAAATGCAATTTTATTGTCAAGAGTCAGAAAAAAAAGGTGTAGCCAATGCGTTCATCGTACGCCTTGTATGCATGCGGAACCACTGTTGGTGAGAGGAGAGGAGGTGCCTGATGGTAATGCACAAGCGAAATTAAGGCCCTCCTCTCCCCTCCCCTTCCCTCACCTCACCTCCCACCCTCCCCACCTGCCCAAATTCAACACCAAGGCAGTAGAATTGACCATTATTTGCCTTAACAACGCAATCAAGTTTAGTTAACTGATGTGCTTAATAAACAATTACAGGATGTTTACTTTAAAAAAAAAATTAAACTTTGCACTTTACCCAAACAGGTAACGGTGAAATGATTGTGTATGCAAGGAAGATGAAATACATGGACTTGAAAGTGACGGATTGTGGCAGCGCCAATTGACAGAGAATGGAATCAGCGTCAAAGACTGAGTGATTCCCACAACCCTCCATCCTTATGATTGCCCATACTCTGCTGCCGCTTACCAGTCATTCATCAACCACTTAACAGTCAATTCAAGCAATGGCTCGCTTGGTCATGTGTGTAGCCCTTTTTGTTCATGCATAGATAGATAGTGTGCGTCCACTCCTCCTTCCATCCACGTGAATTTGATAATTGCATCCACATCAAAGGTGAGACAGTTCCACAACACGATCCCAAGACGCTACTAGAAAGTGGAGGATGAGTAAGCGGTCGAGATGATTTGAAGGTGTCTAACGACCACACCACAGTGGATCGCACCACATAAGCATCCAGTCCAGAGGTTGAGAGATTCACCATGTAAAACAAGCATCAGGCATCAACAAAGGTAAATTACAAATGAAATGGGTCGCTATCTTTAATTACAAATTTCTTTAGACACCCCAAAGTGGATGAATGAGGAAACAAGACATTGAAACGTACGACTTAGAGCAGGCCTTGGAAGACAAGAAACCGTCTTACAGCTAGTCAAGGACCTACACACAAAAACACGAACATTTAGGATAAGGAATGGCAAAAAATAGCATTTAAGGGATGAAGCGGAGGGTAGCGTCTGTTGGCCCACTTCACTGTTACGTGTTTATATCCTAAAGTGAAGGGGAAAAAAAACGCACCCGCATTTCACCCCGGACAAGGATGAAATTCGGGTAGAAATTGC